GATTTACAAATGCCTATTGCCTATATAAATGTCTAAAGATGCTTACACTAAGCCCTCTTAAGCTGAAATATAGGCAGAACCTGATATTTGAATTAAATAAAAAATCCGAAACAACTTCTCTGCCCTCTTTATGAAAATCATGAAGTCGTAATTAGAAAGATTTCACTACACTCGTTGAAACAAAACTTACGCATCGTATGTTTTGGGTGAAAAATTATTATAATTAAAAAACTCAGAACTGTGTTTGCGTGTGTATCAACGTTAGTTGTGAAATTCAACTCTATTTAAAACAAATAATTTGATATAATATTTTCTTGCAAATTCATTTTCTATTCCACAAATTCTGTAGCATATTTAAGGTTATTTTAAATGAATATTTAAAATGCTTACAACCTGCCATTATAATGCTAAATATCCAATACTTTTTAACACATAACAAAAGGTGCACAAAAATTACCTGCAGCAAAAGTCATTCAATATTTAGTTATTCTGTGTCGAATTAATTTGACTATTGGAAATTACCTGCATTTTAATTAATATGAGCCGAGGAAATAATAGTTTTTAACTGAATATGTCGCGCTAAAATTTGCTACTCTGACTTCAGTTCACCCGTCCCCCAATATATGATAGTTTTGCCGGGTGCGACCGTCTGAAGAAGGCAAACTTTTCAATACATTGTTTCTGAGTGTAATCATTCGATATTCTGTGTCATATGTTTACAGTTTATGATATGGAAGAAAAGATAAACATCTACAATTATATGCCTCAAATAACTTAGATTCAGCCTCTCTCCTCTCTTTCATCTCTGTTTCCCTCCTATCCTCTCCCTTCTTTGTCATCTGCCTCCTTTATCTTCGTCTTCCTCCCTTCTCTCAATCCTCGGTCCTATATCTCCTTTTTCTCTCGCTCTCCCTTTCTCTCCCCTTCCCATTTCTCTACTTTCTCCTCATTCTCTCTTCTTTCTCTCACACTCCTTCTCCTTTCTTCTGCTCCCTCTTTATCTCTCGTCTCTCTTCTCTTTATCTCTCCCTCTTTATTACCTCTCTCTCTCTCTCTCTCTCTTTCTCTCTCTCTCTCAGAAAACGGTCGAAGCGCCTGGCTCATTTCCTTTGGCAGAAAGTTACAATTTCTTCACGCTCCCGCAAATGCACTTCATAGCATATACCCATTCTATTTTGGTGATAATTAGCGTATTTCGTCTACTGAGTGGAACAAAGACCATCTAGTTCTACCTGAACTTTGCAATTCGACGAACCCGTCTGTGAGCCAACTTCGATTCCGGTGCTGTGCAAGCGTACATTCTTCATAGAATTTCCAGTAAACCTCTTCGAGATCATCAAATTGAGAGATGTTTAGTTACACATTTTTTCTAGTGTAATTACAAAGTCTTTTTGAAGCAACGTGCAGTATTTGATGATTGATTCACATGTAGTGAAATAAATGTTCTCATCAATACGCTTATATTACCGAAGTTCCATAATTATTTAATTATTTTCACTCCCGCATTCTATGTTATTTAAAACCGTGAACGAACTCAGATTAAATAAAAAAATGTTTGTTTAAAATACAGTGTATGAGTAAAAGCAATATCCATGTGAATGTTTATTCTATAAACTATACTGCATAGTCTGCTTTTAATGTCTATATTCCCCTAATGGCGCCTATTAGGTGCATATGTGTGCCCTTAATGTCTATACTAGGCGCATATCTTTTAGAGCTTACATATAAGAAATTGCTGAGTGCCATATTCATTTCATAGTATAAAAGTGTACATGAATTACATCTTATTTATATGTACTACAATTTTATGGATGGATGATGCTATATTGTGAATGTTAAAATGTTAAAGGATGGAATATAGTTGAGATGTGTTACATGATGTGCGAACTCAACAAACCCACATCCACATAATTGACAGCAATCTTCCTTATTTAGAACGGAAACTCATAACCTATGTCTTGAGCACTGCTCCAGTCTAAATCGTCTCCGATGTGGACACATCATTAGTGATGATGTAAAACTTAACAAATAGAGCAATTAACATGTGAATTTTTCAGTGCGCTTTTAGGGCAATTTTCATTTTTCTAACCTAGTCATCACTCTTTTCTCACTCTATTTAGAATACTAATGGATGGTCAGAGTTATGAATTATTTATTAAAATCTTTTGACAGAAATCTCGTAAATTTGCTTCTTCTGGAGAGGAAGTAAACCTCAGGCCTGATTCAAACAGATTTAAGACAAACATATTTATGATACTAGTAGTAAAAGTAACTTTTTAATTTGTGAATGGTGACACGGGTCCTGCAGGTCGACAATACAATAGCACAATACTAAAATCAAAATAAAATCTCTTTTACCGCGTGTATCTTACACTGTTTTTTACACAGCGTGTCTAATTTTATTTTTATACAATAATACAAATCACTTAATGGAACATTAAGGCTGGTAGTAAATGGTGCGAACTCACGGAAGTATTTTGTTTTCTTTAGTGCATTTACATATTTATCTGAACAGTTGAGCGTTGTCTCAATTTTGGCACGCCAAGCATTCCCCGAAAGAACCCCTTTTACTTGCGGTTATTTAAAACTAATGTACGTGTATGGGGTAGGTTAAAGATCAGACTCGTAAATATCTAGGTTATTGTGTGCCTTAAACACTTAAAACCAGAATTTCTTGTCTTTGAATGGCCTTGGGTTACAGTTCTTAAATCATAATCTACAAAATAAGATTTTTTGGATGTTATGTAGCGTTTTGTTACTTAGAGTATTTCACTCCGTGATAAGAGTACGGGTTGCTAGATATATTTGAAGTTGTATTCTAGGGTATAGTAAATTTTAATTTTAAAACTATTATTTACAATTTTTGAAATGCTTGCACGCGTCAAACATTTCAATAAAGTTAAGGAACCACTTGTTTGAAACTTGTGAGATTACTTTCACAAACTGACAATGCGATATAAATCATTTGTAAAAATATGAGAATGTTCAATACTTTACATTGGGAGTAGTGTACCTACCAGCAAGAAGTATATAATTATTGAAAACGTTCTCAAACCCTAGTAATGACCCCATGATTTGTGGTTTAAACAGTTAAGTGATTATTGAAAGTATTATTAATTTTTAAGTCGCAGGTTAGTGTTTCTGTACCTGCAGAATGGTCAGAATTGTTGCAAAATTTTACTTACAAGCTAATATTTTCTTCGGAGTGGTAAAAATATATTTTTGAATTTGCTTAGGGTCATTGGTTTATTGCAGTTAGCTGCCACATTTGCTGATAAAAATGGAAGTCAAAACTAATTACTCAGTTGCGACATGAAAACGTTGGCATTGAAATTGAAAGTCCGCGCCATTCAAGGTGCATTCTTGGATATCTCTTAATTGAGTTTTCAGGTCTTTCATTAAACACAAAAGGCTCACAGAATTTCGATAATACTAGCAGAATTACTCCTTGCTGCCATCTTCCCGCTCGCCAGCGCTGCTGCGACCTGGTGTTCTCGTGTCGCAACCGCCCATTTGCTGTCGTCTCCTAGCCCACCGTTAGATTCGTCCCGTCTATATCCCGCGCCGTCCGTTTGTCCTGACCTGCTCGACCCCATCCCGCGTCTCAAGGCCACACCCAATAACAACGATGTCCAGATGGATCCCAGATAGATTGGGAATTACATTGAACTGAAGCGCCATCTTGTGCTGCAGGGCCATCTAGAGAAGAGTTACAAAGTAAACAGCATAAAACTTTCTCTATGAAAAACCTTCTAAGATATGATAACTTTCATGCAAATCGGTAAAACGATATCGGAATAAATCGATCTTGGATAAACCAATATCCAATTTTATATAGATCAATAATATTACCTTATCTGAATTATTACTGCGCAATTCATGTTCTCGTGTATTGAGAAATTAAGAAATTTATTGTAGGGAAAATTACAAATGCAAATTCCCAAAAAGAAAGTTTCACTTGCATATATACACACAATTAATTCATTCCCCCAACAGTTTACAAGCAATGAAATAATCAGAACACAGGCATTTCAGATTTGAGTATACATGGATATTTCCTTAAAACGTTTGAAGAACTATACTTATGTATATTAATGTCTATTTTCGAAAATTTTGATCAATTATCTATTACGAACATTACTGCTCGTTTATTCTTTTAGATTTAAAGAGTTAATATGTCAGCTTTGAACATTACAAAACAATCATTTGTTTCCAGCAAAACGGTTTAGGCTCCATCTCGGATTGTGCAAGATTTTTTGATATTCCCAATATATTTAAAAAAGAAGTTAGGACGTTATTCGATCATACAACGAATTCGTTAGTCTCGGTTTCGTGATATATTGAAAAGTACTTTCGTTTTAAAAACGTTCATCTTTGCACTCTTTTATAAAAAAAATGCCTCAAAACTAACGTACTTGACTGAAAATGTTGTAGAATATAATATTCAGACATCTTCTCAATTAACACATTTTAGATTCCTTCACTTTAACATTTACATTGATGATAATATATTTCATTAAAACACATATATATTTTCACGTACTGTCATATCTCCTGTCCTATTATTAGGTAATTGAAGTGAAAATATTAGTGTTTCAGTGCAGAAAAAACCTCTTTGGAGGCGAAGTCGTATTTCAAAAAATGCTTGACCGTTTCTCAAAATGCATCATTTGACCCCATTTACACTTGAACCCTTTTGATATTTCGAGAAATTTAATACGGAATCAAAGAGATTATTTATGTTCACGTAGGAAATTCCTAATTCATAACAAAACAATATTTGTCACATTGAAAAGCCTGGGAGGAGCGTGCTCATATTCTTGCAAACTATACGTACTTTTTTTTCTCAACCCCACATTTTACTCTGTTTAAGCAAATAAACTTCACGCATTTTATAATCCGATATATGCAAGAACAGAGTACTCGTTAAAATACTTAATATTTTGATAAATAAAAAAAATCGATTCACAAATAAAAGACGTAGCGTGCCATAAGAACATATGAAGTTCGTGAGAAACATATTGAACAATATTAAAGATGCAGAAAAAGAAGAAGGAGAAGAAAATAAGAAATTAGAAAAAGTAATTGAATGCCTTTGTACTTGTAGGTCCGCAGTAGGGAAGTATATCCTTTTGAGAGAGTGGATATCTTAAAGCTGAGCGGTGTAGCGTGCAGCGTAGTTCGGGAGTTGGCTGATGAGAGCGCCAGCGGCGCACGGGGAGCAATTTGCAGGCGTGGGGGGTCTCTGGGGAGGAGGCCGAGCCCTGCGGCGCAGCGCCGAGGGGGGCGCCCACCCCCCCCTGCCCCCCAACCGACAGGTAATTACTCGAAACAGGCGACTCTCTTCCGGCGCAATGCTCGCGACGCGGGTGGTGAGGCGCTCCATACGTCCTTCTGGATCCTCATCCTCATTCGATATCCCTCTTCAACGTGACTTTTTCTTTGGTTTGCTTTTGTTTTCTGCGTTTTCTGTAGGTTTTCGCCTGCGCTTCTCCTCACTCAAAAAACGTCACGAAACTGTGCCCAAAATAACTTTGCACAAGTCACAGAAATCACATTATCTCATCAAATTACTCTAAACTTTACACTTCATCTCGCTTGTACAATCTACACTCACACGCAGTTCCGGAATCACAATATCAATAACCCCCACATTTAATCTCGTGTAACTTTTTTATTTAACCTCTTATGACGTTAACTAATTGCTACCAAGTCCAAACTCATTAAAATTAAACATTGATTCAAAGAATCGTTATCCTTGTTCTTGCGGTGGTATATCGATTTCTTCGTAAAAGACACGATGAACCAAATTCTACCGGTTTTACGTTCGAAAAATACCTTTTATTTTACGGGAGCGAACATTTTCTTATTATTGTTTAACACGCTCGTTTACACCTCAGTTCATAATTCATCTTGTAAAGGGATATTGTTAAGCCCACATATCTTGAAGCTCAAGGAAACGTGTACATAATACACCTCTTCTTCTAGTTCATCACACACAGTTTTTACTTGTTTTTGAAGCTAAATAAACAAATATATAGAATGTATTGATCAAAAAATATTGGAAACATTTCACTGAAAAACGCTTTCATTCTAGGCCCTAAATTATATTTTTTTAAACATATGTTTAAGTGAGACATAGCCGAGGGTGGTGCGTTTCCGTGTGTTCTACAGTTCCCAAGAAAGATTGATTTTATTGATTTGCACAACATCGCAACGTCAGGTGGCACATTCCATGAATCCATTCGATGAAATTGTGTTGGCGATGTCCGGAGCGCGAGCTTTATGCTGGCATTAGAGACGCCACATGCAACGGTGTTCAACGGAACCCATCGTCCAGCTAGTCACACAATTTTCCTAATGGCTACTAGATACGAATGCCATTCTTGTACGAGAATTTCAACAGGTTGCACCTGCGGCCTCCAGAATAAATTGCAAAATAATCCAAAATTTTAAATATATGTTATAGACTTTTGCAATATAACTAATGCTATGTACATTTAGCACTTTATTGTAATTAACTTTGAGTTAAAATTTTTCCACTTTTTCAGCTGATAAAGGCCAATATCTTCGATTAGGGAACGCAAGAGTTTCTTCGAAACGGTGACGGTTTTATAATTGTTTTGTGAAAATCAAAAAAAAATTTAAAAGATGAGACTACCGCTTTTTATTAGGAAAAGTAATAAAAATAAAATTTTTAAACGATGGAACAGTAAACTCTTGCCTGAACAAAGATAGAGGAAAAACTACTCTGAGATCGACGATGAGCCCTTTCCTTTGAGGTGCGACTAACAAAATGCATAAATTTATTTCATTTTTTACTGATACGTTATGCCTTGTTATTTTCTTCGAAACGGAGCTCGTTTGTCACTGCATCACTGCATCACTGCTTTTACTACATCACTGTATAACTGAGGATCTAGGTTACGAGGGAAATATGAAAACAGTTGAATGATGCTGCTCGTTCTCGTATGAAGGGAACTTTGGAAGGGCAGTATGGGAGGGAAATATGAAAAGACAAACTGAGTCAAGTTAACAGTTAGTTAATTTGTTGTGCTGAAGTAAAGCTGTAAGTAAAGCTAAATCATTAAAATTAGGTAAAAAATAAAATATTTTATGGACTACAGGTCTTAAAAAGGTCCAGCGTAAAAAAGCACTCGGGCTAAAGGCTCTTGAGTTTTTGTTGCCACTCGATCGTTAGAATCCTGATAATGCCCTTGGTGCATAAATACGTATTTAGAAAAAATGTGCATCTAATATAAAAGTGGTAAATGGATAGTTTGTTGTTATCTGAAATCCTGTTGACAGAATTATGCAGGTGAAACTAACCAACCTGTGTTTTTTAAATTTTACCACCTTTAACCACTATTTCCTGTTAAACTGCCCGCTTTTGTGACTTATTTAATTTTTTCCCAATACAATTCAAAAAGAATGTCATTGCATAAGAAAGTTAGATGCAAACAGTTTCCTGCCAAAAATGCACGTTTTTAAGAAAACTGGACGTTTTTACCTCTCCAGACCGCGCGTTTTAAGTACTCTGCGATGCACCGAGACTCCGGCTGTTGCACTGTCTCCGTTGCATTGAGTGATGAGGGAGAAGGCAAGGTTGCCACATCGGGGAATTTTGTACCCAAAATGGAGATTTTCTTTAGACGTGGAGAAAGAATGGGGAACATAAATGGACGAGGAATAGTTTAGAGATTTTTTAGGGGAAAATTATTTTCACTTGGAGTCGAGGCAGAAATATTATTTTCCCATTTATTATGAATAAAAAAGAAAAGAATTGACATAATTCTCTCTCATGTTTATGTAGCAAAAATAGACAACTAAATGACAGTCGTAGAGAAAGAGAAATATGAGAAAAAGAAAACAGTGTATGGTTTGGTCTACGATCAGTTAAAGGGACGATGATTGGTTGATTTGAAGTATTGGAATTTATGAAGACAGTAAAAGGAATCGTCAGGAACTGCTCAAGCCGTTGGTACATAATTTGAAGAATATATTTTGTTTCAGAGTTGGGGGATATTGTTTCATTGGAGAGGTTATTTGGAAAAATTCCGAAAAAGTGATAGGGAATGAACTCACGACACATCTGGCAACCCTGCGAGAAGGCGAGGTCGGCTGCGGGATGCCCGGTACAGCGAAAGAACAATTTCCCTGCTTCGAGTCGCGCAGTTCTTCCCCCTCTCCCTGGGTGGACGGGACGACGCACTGCGTCTAATCACTGGCGACCTCCCCCCTTCTCTACCCCCCCTCTCCCCTACTTCAGCGCGTAGTCTAAAGCGGTAGAGAATATTCGAATTGCGTGACCGGAAGCAGCAGAGAAGCCTTGTTTTCGGAAAAACGTCCTAAATTTTTGTGCGATACCAATTGCCAGCTTCCGTTAAAATAAAAAGAGTTCACATGATTTTTTTCGATATCATTAAGGAACAGTTGTAAACTTCATTTTCACTGATTTTTTTTAGAATTCGTCTTTGATAAGTGTATGTGCTATATTTAACAATATGCTAAGTGGAATTCGATTTGGCCAAAAGCGTATGTTTTTTGGACGGAGTTTCACTTTGGCTAAAGCGAGAAAGCTCTTGTAACTTGTCAACTGCACGGTCTTCCAGTTTCATCTGTCGGCTGACGCGACGTCTCCCATCTTCACATCGTTCTTCCTCTATTTTGTCGCGTTTCAAGCCATTCCCGCTCAGCCGTGTCTCAAGATCCGCACCTAACTTCTCCAGGAACCCAACATAAAACCACAAGCCTTCTCCTCCCTAAAACGTCAACCCATGCCAAGAGATTCGCGTCTTGAGCCCCGCGTTCAGCTTTGTGACACGCTCTGCTTTTCGGTGGAAAGCTCACCGCTATGCTGCCCCATGATGGTCGTTGTCACGCTCTCCACCACGCATCTGGTTCCCAGTTAAGCTCCTCGCCACGCTCCTCGTTCTGCTGTCTGCCACGCACCTCGCCCCGCTTCTTACCACACTCCTCCCCTGGCTCCTCGCCACGCTCTCCCCCTCGCTCCTCGCCACACTCCTTACCATGCTCCTTACCACACTCCCCCTCGCTCCTCGCCACGCTTCTTATCACCCTCCCCCCTCACTCCTCACCATACTCCTCCCCTCGCTCCTCGCCACGCTCCTTACCACACTCCTTCCCTCGCTCCTCGCCACACCGCCACCCGTCATACCACTGTCTGCCACGCTCCTCGCCCGCCCCTCCAGAAAGATCAGTCTCTTTATTTCGAATGAAAAGCACGCACTATATTTACGCAACTAATACCTTTAGCAGTTGGCGTGCCCTAAATCATAAATCAATTAATAAATGAAATAATTCTAGTTCCCCTTTAGGCCATCCAAATACTTTAAATACATTCTAGTTCCTCACAGCACATTTCAGTCTCTCTCCATCAATTTCAGTCCCTCGCAGACCATCTCGCACATATTCAATCCATCTTAGTCCTCTCATCTCATGCGAGTTTACCTCAGACTCTCTCCACCAATGTCAGTACCTCTCAACCTATCCAACACCCTCTTAGCCTCTCTCAACCAATCTAACACCCTCTTAGCCTCTCTCAACCAATCTCGTACCTTTTCGGATTATTGAAGTCCCTCTCATTTCGTTCCTCTCATTCCATCGCTAATCCTCTCCGCTCATCTCACCCTCTTAGCCCTTCTCAGTCCCTCCTCTCAACCAATTTCGTACCCTCTTGGATTATTTAAGTCCTTCTCACCACATTTCGGTCCCCTCATTCCATCTCGTACCCTCTCGGATTATTTAAGCCCCTCTCACCACATTTCGGTTCCCTCATTCCATCTCGTACCCTCTCGGATTGTTTAAGTCCCTCTCATCACATTTCGGTCCCCTCATTTCATCTCGTACCCTCTCGGATTATTAAAGTCCCTCTCACCCCATTCCGGTCCCCATTCCATCTCGTACCCTCTCAGCCCATCTCACCCACTCCCATCCCATCGCTGCTGCGCACCCAACGCGAAGCGCCTCGTATCCGGCTCGCCCCTTCTCGCGGAGCCTCCGCTCGCCCGCGCGCGCCTCCACGTGCACATCCGCCGCTGCCGCCCGCCGCACTTAGTGCCTCTGAGCCACAGAGCGCCCTCCCCTCCCTCCCAAAGATGTTGGCGCTCGGATTCAAGGAGAAGGTGCAACCACTTGCATCTTCCTTTACGACAGGCGTCTCAGACACTGATAGGGCCGCCAACCTTGACCAAGTGGGTATTTTGGAAGGTATCAAACAGGCAACTCACTTGCTGCTTTGATTCTGGCACAGAAATGCGCATTTTGAAACATGTTTTAAACGCGTAAGAATCATCACCTGTATGGGTTAAGGCAACTTCTGAAGTCAGTACTGGTAAAACAAAAACTTACATAATCTGTTTCTTTGAGATGATTGGCGGGATCAGTTACCTATGTTGATTGATGTCGTGGATAGTTTTTGAGTTTTTGCTGATCACTTTCAGGCAAAAAGAGGAACAGTACCCAAACCAACGGAGTACTCAAATATTTCTTACTTCATTCCCCCCCCTTTTCTTCCCGCCTCCCAAGTTCGGGCTGAGACACCGCACAGATGTATATCTTTAACTCTCTAACCTGCATATACCGTTGGGGTGAAGACCATCCTTTATTAGATTGTAAATGTTCTATTATAGTATTGTTAAATCTATGTTTCTGTGTAAAATGCGGTCCCGGGTTCGATTCCCGGTCGAGTCACGACTGTGCGTTTTCGTTGCAATGACCTAGTATATGTTGCAGTGTGAAAATGAGAAAATTCACTTCTCAGGTTGAGAAGATCGGAATACGGCGTGTGGATGTCTACGTGCTAACCACACCTACCCTCTTTACCAATAGCCACGAGGTGAGGGCATCGCCGGTTGGCCTGTGCCCGCTCAGGGTTTGTCGCACAAAGAACATATATACATGTAAAATGCATGTTACAAGATATAGGGATTGTGATCTGTTGACTGAATGAAACCTAAGAAGCCTGGCAGATACTATAACTGTCAATGACTTCTATCTTTGTGTATCAATTCATTTTTGCGAACAGGTGCTACTGCAATTGCGAGTGTGTGATTAGCTGCAACTGCAATTTCACGTTAGCAGAGAAAGTTGTAACAATTCCTCTGCTCATGGAACTCTTGCAGCAAGATTTTAGTGGTGGATTTTAGTCTGAGGCACGCAGCCTGCGCGAAGTTGTGCGACGTGAATATAGGAACTATTGTTTAGCGAGTGCGAAGGGTTGAACAAAAAAAATTAATAGGCAAATAATGAATGACCGTCAGAATCTTGATTATCTGTTTGGGGGTCAGCCTCATTTGACATTTGCGATAAATTGCGATAGAATTTTAGCCATCCGGGATGTGTCTATACTGAAGTAGTTTTCAGTAAAGTTTTGAAGAAGGCCACAGCAAGATGGCCGAAACATGAGTACAATTGACCGAGACGTGGCTCATCCCGGATAGCCAAGAATGCATAGACTCCGGCCGCGGATGCCTACGAACGCAAATTGCGATAGTCTTCTGTTGACCATTTCCCTGCACGTGAGATGCGATGGATCTTAATGAGACAGATAACTCAAGCCTTTTGGAAGCGTAAAATTATAGTATTTCGGATTTGAGTAATTCTTACATATTAGGTGCAAAACGACTCGGTAAATAAACGTTGGAACATTTCCCATAGCCAAATACATGTCCCATTCACAAATAATATTTCACCGCTTTGATGAAAATGCGGAAAGCCATCTTTCTGCATTTTATGGATTGAAATATTCAATAAAGATACCTACTGAAAATAAAGTGTATCGCTCTAATTGTGTTTCTCGAATACGTATCTCCTCTCGTCATAGGTCTATAATCATTCACACTTTCTCCAGTTAAAAAGCCCTTTTATAAAAATTTAAAGGAGGCATGATTCTTCCATGATAAACTGTATTGTGTTTTTAGCAAATGGGTTTTGCAACTCAATTTTAATTCAATTATCCTAACAACACGATATTAGTATTTTTATTGTTAAATGTTGAGGTGAATTGAACATTTCTAATGCTTAGATCTTAAGTGACGGATGTCATAGTTTTCCCTTTTTTCGTCCCATCTTTCACTTTCATTTGTAGTTTACTTTCTCTCAAAATGTTGTATACAAATCTGTACATATACAATTACAGGAATGTAAACCACAAAGCAAAATACAAATAGAAAATGACTAGACATACATAAAAACATAATTACTAATAATTTAAGAAAGAATATCCATAGCTTAAGGTGGGGTTGTCCCCTAAATCAGATTGCCTGCTCCCTATTACGTTGTAAAAAATATTTTTTCTCTTTACTTCTCTGAAACAAGCGAGTAATTTACGGGAGAAATACTCCATGGTTACTGGTTCAACGCACAACGAAATATCTCGGATACAAGCCATGCAAAATTCCATTTCCTGAACGTTTCCAGCTTTTTTCACTTTAATTTTATATTTCATTCTCCAGGGACTGTAAAACATATATTGCGAATATCAACAGCAATTTATAGCAAATTTGCATGCTGATTGTTGTGACAATAAAAAGAACAAATGGGAATACATATTATTGAAAAACATGACTGAATGCGGAACGAGCAAGGTGGAAATGAAACAATCTTTAATCATTCGCTCACTCATTCTCCAAAAATTCATTTTTTTACAGGAACACATTTACTTACGTCATTCACGTTTTTTCGTATATTGTACATCAGATCAAGTACTTTAGGCATTTATTTTCGCTCTTTTGTAATCATCTCTCTTTTCAAAACTTGGGGTTTACTACATGATACAGTTGCTCATATTCGCTCAGAGTTACGGCCCATTAACTTTTCATGACCCCTCCCCTGCTGTGCAGTACTATTGCGTCAGTAAATCAGTTGCTTTGGGTCATCTATGGATTACCAGGTTTTGTGATGTAAAAGTGTCTTATAATAATTGTGAAATAGTGCCCGCGCACGTAATTGTTTTTTAATTGAAAAATAAAAACTAATTCGACGTAATCAAATCGTCAGAAATTTTGAACAAATCAGACGCTCACAAAGTATTTCTATAAAGTGGTACAGATTCAGATAATTGGAGTTCATATGAAGTGCGCAGCTGGTGTATTCCAAAACGGAACTTCGACGTTTCTTAGTGCTACTGACTGTATCTATATCGCGTGCTCCACATTTTACAACCTATGTTTCTTTACTTTACATCCAGTGGTAATTCACTCTTCCGAAAACATGTACTTTTTCTTCGTTAATTATAAATAATGTGATTTTTTTATTTATTATTGATTTTTTAAATTTTGGTGTTTTGATGCTCACGTGAATTTAGTTTTAAAAACAGCGATCTCTCTTAAACATGTTTGTTGTTGTACCTGCTTTTTAAATCTACTTGTCCCTTATCGAAGATGTTTACGAACTTCACAATACATTTGTTGACATGACATCCAGCTCTCTCCAAAAAATTGTCCTTTTGAAATTAAGGCACACCAATAAAAATAAACGAAATAGCTACTTCTCAGCATGCAGTACTTGTGCAATACATAATAATTTGCCAAATGCAATGGTGTAAATACCATGTAAGTACAACAAAAGACTGAGTATTCTAAACGATAAGAACCATCGATAATTTATCCTAAAAGGAGACTCCAATTTTCTACCTTTTTAGGAGCAATGTTGACTTAAATTGTTTGTAAAATTTAATATATACAAACTGCTGTTAAATGTGATTGCCATTGGTTAGAACTCAGAAATTCTAATTTTCTTCAATATTGTTAACAATATTCCAAAACAGCTGCAAATTTATACGTTCCGTATGAACTCTAAACGGCAATTTTAATGTATTTACAGGAATAAATATTGTAACTGTCTCTAAGGGTCTCACAGACAGTGTGTTTGGACAGCACTTTTCATTATGCAATTCCGGTTGGATATCGGTCGGGCAAGAGCACCCACTCCCCCACCCACTCGCTCACTTTCGCTCCATCACGTCCCCTCCCCCACCCTGCCCTCGCAACGTCCACGCACCATCACTCCCCGCCACACTTCACTCCTCCAAAAATCCCTGTCCACCCCCGTTCTAACTCTCCGTCACGCCCACTCCTTCCCGCTTCTCCCCCATCCCTCACCGCGTTCCCTCATCCCCCAAAACCCCTGCCCACCCTCTCCCCACCCGCTCACACGCACCCCGCTCTCCCTAACCACGCCTTCACCCACGGCCCCGCCGCGCGCGACAAACCCGACGCGACGCTCCGGTCCCGAGCAATTTTTTCCGGAGAGCACTCCATTAGCTTGTTATTACTGCCCCATTTATTGTGAGGTCATCCACGCGGCACAAACGCGGTGGGGCGGAAGTGGCGGGAGAGGCGGGGCGGTGTAATTGCTGCCTTGAAGAAGCGCAGACGAACCCGCGAGAGAATTGATGGCACAAAGGCCACCGCCGCCGCTCACAAACGCGGAGGGTGGTCGAATCCTATGCGAGGTGACGCTGTCGCAGATTTGGTGACCCATCTCCCTCTCGAGCAAATAAATTTGCTTTGAATAAATATGCGGAACCAACCGCTTAGGTCAAACAATATTTAATCGCAACATATTTAAGTCCAGTATAATGTAATAATGTTTTTTTGTATTTCAGCATTATAAAAGAAACTCTTCTGTTGCAAGAAATCGTTCATAATCGGGAATTGTACGGCTTTTTACGGCATTTTACGGTAAATGCAGACGTATTATATTTTATGTCAAGAGTGATTGCGTCATCACACATTCAGCCAATTGTAGTGAGAGAATCGTGGGGAGATAGAGCTAAACGGAACAGCCGACCACCGTTTACTCGCACGATGTCAAATACCCGTTTACTTGCACGATACCCGAAGGGAAGTTGTTTCACAAAATTAAGTTAGATTCTCTTACAAATGTATAATGCTGTTATACAAAAAATATAGTATGCAACTCGTTTATAATGTTGCTTTATTACATTCGTACAAATTTGAAAACTCGCTCCTAAAGGCGTTCGTTTTCAAAACATGTACTCATGGAATAAAGCGTTATAAACTAATTACATAAACTACTATTGTCAGTAATTATCCAGAACTCATATTTATAAAATGTGAATGGAAACAAATGGAGTTTTGAAACATCTAGCGCATTTGAGAGGTACTACAAGCGTGAGATGTTGTGTCGTAGATAGCGCTGGTATGAAGAGGGGATATGGTTTAGCCTT